TGTAGCAACCTCATAAAACTTTTTGCTGGATGGCAGATGTGGTTTCTAACACATGCGGTTTGCTTAGTCTCTGTGGTTTCTTAAATTCAGTAGAAGTACATCTGCACTGAAGCTTTAAATGAAAACTTCAGGCCTACCCAACTACCAGACTTGTCACCCAATGATCCCGAATTCACCAGTAGATTGGACCACACTACCCGTTTTCAAGGTGTGTGTCAGTACACATTGCACAATATCATACCCCGGAACAAATTTTGAGATGAGATGCACTACTTTCCAACCCTGCTGAGAATCATCACTATTACACTGCGTACTAGGCAAGAGCGGTTTTGCGTCTGAAACGGGTAGTGTGGTCCGATCTATCGATGAATTCAGGATCATTCGGTGCCGAGCCTGGTAGCAGGGTAGGCCTGAACTTACTTAAACTTATTATATACTTATACAAACCCTATGACTACCACCAAGCAACAATGTCGTGCTGTATGACTTCAAGACAAGTCATTGGGAATGGGAGTACAATATTAAAATCATCATTAGTATCATTTGTGTGAAAATGATCCCTCTAACAGGGCATTTGGAATTTCAAGTTTGTCAATGATTTAGAAAACATATTCTAGGCATTTTCGATGAACAGGAGGCAAATAGAAAGGTCAAACTGACCTATAGCTAGCTCATGGCACTTGTCAAAGGGAAATAAAAAAAAAAGTGGCCAGAAGCAGTTCCAAATTGGTTCCAACGGTGCATGTCATGTCAGCAATAAATGAGTCTACATGTTCAATGAAAGACAGACCTTTCAGTTTGGAGACCAATAATTACACACGTCTCTGTGGTCATATTTTACTATAACAACTTTGCACATGTTGGAAAATAACTTAATTATTATGTAGTTTTTAGATGATTCATGGTTTTAACTGAAACAAAAATTGAACTTTCTTCGAATTCAATTGTGCAATTGTCAAAAAATAACTTCATTATTAATCAGCATTGCAAAAATATTTTTCAAACATTAGTCCGTTTCTCTAAGCAATAGATCCACTTATCACTGCAAGATTTCCGCAGAATTCCTGTGGTATTTTACTCCAAGAAGACTGGTTGCTTTACTTAATTGGCTCTAGGGGTTTCTGATAAACACTTTCTGCGGTTTTGCTAATCTTTTCTAGGCACATTTGGAGAGTGCTAGCAACTGTATCAGTTCAGGTGTATTGGAAACGTAGCACCATTAACAGTTACCCTGGGTTCCAGACCCTTTTTACATTGAGCAGTACATTTAACTTGACTCATGGGCACATTCACAACAAGTTGATCTGCAGACTAAGACCCCATTCCCATGGATTTTAAATCGATCTATCCCTGTGGGGAGTCTCACTAGATTACTGTCAACTAAGCCGGCTTAAGCGTCTGTCCCGCCTACTAAAAGCTGTAAGGGGGTAATTAACTATGGTGCGCGCTCGGCTGACTGCAATTTAGCGTGAACCCCCAAGGAGTTAGGTTGATCTAAATCTAAATCTCTGGATCGATCTAAATCTATGGGAATGCACCCTAAGAGCGCATTCAGAACAACTTGATCCTCAGACTTACCGATTCCATGGATCAAAAATGGCCAACCCACTTAAAAGCAGTGCCTATTAATCCCCTGAAGTTCACCCCTGCTGGGGGCTAGCGATTAAACCTTGGAGTCAATATTTAATCTGTTTAATGGCATGTGAAGAGGCAGGAAGACCGTCAGGGAATTAGGCATCTTGCTTTTAAGTGGGGTCGGCCATAGTTAGTCGCAGATCAGTTAGTCCATGGATCATCTGTTCTGAATGCAATCTAACAGACCACTTGAAACCTTGTTGCAGAATCCCCTTGCAGACACTGAATAGATTCCCCACAGGGATTACACAGCAAGCCTTCAAGTGGATCAGCCATATTTGATCCACGGATCTGTTAGTCCATGGATCAACTTTGGTTGTGAATGCATCCTTAGGTATTATTACATTATTTTTACTTCTGTTCACAAGTCCTCCACAAGTATGCTTCCTTCTGTATGTGTGTGCGAGTGCGTGTGCATGTGCGTGTGTCCAGTTAGGTGACTCTCTAGTGTAATAGCCAGCTGAATACTTAGTTGACATTGAATATGAAATGATCTATAGTAATACCACTCCACAGAATAAGCTTAAACAACCAAATATGTTGAAACATCTGAAAGAGAGAGACATGGGACTCCATTAAGAACAGCAGCTGAATAATACTTCCTTGTCCGTTTTTACGATCGATCTAGAATGTACCAAAAACACAACTCGGTACAAAAACAAAGAATGGTCTTATTTTGGATACTGTAACATAAATATTGACATAATGAACCATTTTGACTGTTAATTACCCTCCAAACTAAGCTGGCTCTAGAATACAGTGTCGAAAAACAATAACCTCTATTGTGGAAAGCACTACATCCTCAGATTGAATACCAAAATATTGATACAACAATTAATTTATCAGTTATACTGAAACCAAGCTCATTTTCAAAATGTGGTGTCCAAAAACAAAAAATGTTCCTAAATAAAGATATTAAAATATTGACATAACTTTTAGTTTAACGGAAAGCTCTTCAACAACGTAGTTCTTTCTTTCTCCGAAACCCAGAAGTCTTTTCCCTCAGTAAGTAAATAAATAAGCCAGCATCAAAAACATAACAGATAGATAGATACTTTAAACACTATAAATCTGGCTGTTTTTCCCCATTTTTTCAAGATTTATCATTTTTTCTACCTCACAGAATCATATTTTTCAGACACAAACTGAATCCAGTTTTCGAAAATTTTAGGACCTCTTTTTCAGCTTTTAATTTCTTTAAACATGTTACTTAACAATTTTTTAAGAATCTAAAAAATGATTACTGAACTTGGTGAGTGAATGCTCTACATTGTTTTTTACTTTCAGTCCACTTATTAATCTGTTAACCTTCAAGTATTTATTCCCTTAAAATATTTGGAAAACACCAAGCCCAACTGGCATGTTGCTTTAATAAAAGGCTAACCCCTTAAAAAAGCATCCCTAATGGAATGAAAATGTATTTTAAAAGTTGCCACACATTAGAGCCATTTTTACAAGACGTTATAATTATTATCCTGCTGTGAAAAATACACTTCAGCATTGCAAAAGCAACACGGAAGAGACACCTCAAAAGTACCAAATTAAAGATTAAATTTTGTTTGAGGCACTTTAGTGGAAAGGCAACCAGGGGCATGTTTCAAAAATAATAAGAACAATAAAAATTTCAATGTACCTCAACTAAAATTTGCAACTCTCCTCTAAAATGAAGCATTTATTAGTCAAACACATCAACATTTTTCTTTTTATAAAAGAGGCATGTTTATTTGACTATTACCCATTTATACTAAATCAAAATAAACTAAACCTCTTGATCTTCAAGCTAAAACTATCTTTTTGTCTTAAGTTTTTCTGTTTAAACAGTTTGAGCCTTTGACACAAGTTCTTTTGGCTTTGGCAAATGAGTTCTGACCTGCGACACAAATCAGCTAAGTGTAAACGCACCTCCCATAAAATCTGTTTACAAAAACCACAACAGACTCAAAACTAGCAATTTTAAGCACTTCAGTATTCCTATATATATTTCAATATTCCTCCTTTTTTACTATTCACAACAAAAAAACTCCTCTCACTTTTCATAACTTCTGGCTTAATCAATCTGAAGTACTGCCAACAAAGCAATGCTTTAGGATTTTCACTTTTATAAACTCCATTCGTATTTATTGATTTTCTTGATATAAATCAGACAAAGAAATTCCCTGTCATCTCATTCTTTCTGGTTCCAATTTCAAAAGTAAAAATGCAGCTTTTTCTTTTCCTATCAGTAACTTAATTGACATATGCAAAACCAACAATTTCCTCCAGAAGGAAATCACACTTATTCAAATATGTAATTTTTTTGGCTTGTGTCAGGCACACTCAGGAAAATACCAGGGAGAAAATAACACAGGAAACCATAAATCCAACTCGTACCTCATGGTTCTGGCTGAGCTATTCTAATAGATCTCTCCCACCCATTGAAATACCATCAGATTATCATGTCAATTTTGAATAAATTCATCTTTAATTTAGAAAATGGATACTTTCATAGTTATTAATTATTTCAAAGCCTGAAAAATTATCACCAATGTTAAGTAAAAATCTCAGCCAACAGATTTCCCTGCAGTTACTTCAAGTGGAACAAAACTGGTGATAACTATATATTAACAAAAAAAAAAAAAGACTCAGCGTATCAAAAAAATGACAAAATTTCAAAGTTCTTGACAATGCACACAAACTGCAGCTATAAAATGATTAAGTAATATGCACAGTCATTGCAGTAGCTGTGAAGCTCAACACATTCAGTAAATATCACAACCAATGTGTTAGGTCTGTACCTTGGCAATACAATAATAGTGAATGCCAGTCATTGTGTTAGGTGTGCATCTTAGTGCATTCAATAAATAGCTTCACACCCATTTTCATAGGGTTGCACTTCAACACATTCAAGAGATGTTAATGCAACTAATCATTGCGGTAGCTGTGCAGCTGAGCACATTCACAAGCGTTCATCCCATACAATTATAGTCACACCAACTGAAAATAGATTTTATGACCACTATGAAACAATGTCATGATTTTTGCATTCTACAGCTAATGAAAGCATAAATAACAGTAAAAATATAACTTACGCATAAATAACAGTGACGAAATGAACATAAACAGGAATAAGTGATGCCAGGATGAAACATCAATAGTTTAATTAAAAACTGGGCAAATCTGAAAGTGAAACCGTTCTTGCAACTGCCAACTGAAGGATTTTTATGCCATGTTTAAGGCACTAAAAATAAGTTTGGTAAAACAAAATAATAGTTTGTTCCTTTTATCAGCAACCAAATATAAAAATATACATTCAATGATACAAATATATTATAATATTTTCTTATCATTGCTATACGATTCATACCTATCCAACAGCCCAGCCCTACCTTGACTTGTCTCCATTCAGCCTGACCCTGTTCACAAAGAAATGACCCAAATGACCTTCAGCAAGACTGATGACCTTGACCTTGTCCTCAATATCAGCCTCTCTCTTACCATCTGAAATATGTGATTTTTTCATGATCGACAACAATCTGTGATCATATGAAAGAGACTTGCTGTATTTGTTTTATCATTATATGTTCAAATTTCTATCTGGTAATTTTAATGTTGGACATAGAATTTATGTGATTAATGAAAGATTTGTTGAAAAATAAAAGTCTTACATTTTTGTATGGGAGATTGATATGGAGGGAAGAAAAATAAAAAATAAGGTTGGCTTGAGAGAGAGAGATACCTCCATCAAATGCAGAATCCACACAAGTCTTTATTTTATCTTCCTTTTCAGGAGACACAACATCCATCCCATACTGTTCTCTTCTAAGGTCAGAGGTAATTAAGGATTCTGCAGAATGAGCTGCGCTCAGACAACCCTCTTGGCTTGTCTTGTCTTCACCTGCCACCTTTCCTTCCCTTTCCTTGGGTTTCACTACCCAATAATGCTGCAATAAAAGAAAATAAGTTATACACATTTTGGAGAACAAAAAAGAAGGGCTGGATTCCAATCATTTTTTTTTTTCTTATTCTTTTCTAAAAACAAAAAGCTAACAGAACATTTTTACATACCAAATCTCTATACAAAAGTAAAATTCTATGTAATCAAATGCATGGGATCAATGAAAGTCAGTATTCATTAGACCCACACCAAGTGAGAACAAAAGAGGGCTTTAAAATGCTAATTATACTTTTTGAACTTGATACAAATGATGGTCAATTGTTGCTTGGTTAAAGATGCTTGAAAAACTAATTGCATTAAAACTTCTTCAAATCCAAGTAAACAGAAATTGTATTGTATGTATATATGCATGCATCCGCTGACATACATGCACACACACACAATGACACAAAGAAAGATTTCCCAACAAACCCCTTTTCTGTGATAAGCAGTATGCAATCCAAACTGCTCGCTCAGCTCTTGTAGTTGGCCCAACCTGATTGCCAACTTTGAAAACTCCAACTGGGCATGGGCATTCCCTTCAAAGAAATCCTACAGAGGGAAAGAAAACAAGTTTCATTAATTGGGAGGGTTTTTTTTCTTTTTTTATCTTTCACTGCAGATATCATATTTTAGGTAACAAAATAGAAGTGCCCACAAAAAAAAGTATTATGAAGCTGGCACATTTTGGGGCATTTGAACATCCCTTGCTGGCTTCATAACATTTTACTGAATGTATGTCCCTCTCTCTTAATTTGATTTATTGAAGACGGTATAATAAAATTAAATCTGACTTGAACACTACACAAGAGGCCTGGTGCAACAGCTATAATATCATCTTTACAAGTGAGCCTTAAATTTACCCAAATCAACACTGATAACTACCCGCATGAAAATGCAGTAGTATCAAAGAAGCAAAGAAGCATTAACGCAGTAGTGGTGTGGAGCATATTTGCAGTAGAAATGCAGTATAGCCTACTGCAATTCTACTTCAAAAAATTACATAGGGTTGTACAGAGGAGGAGCATTTATGCAGTAGATTAGCAGCATGATAGAAGCATGTTTCAAATATGCTAATTAGCTCCCCAATCGAAGCAGATTTGAAGCATGTTTGCAGTATGATTGCAGTAGTCTACTGCGCTGGAGTATCTATTTCATTTTCGTGCGGGTAACTACGTCGTCTGTATTTTACCTTGAACCAACTGAAGATCATGAACAGCTGCTGTTGGCTCCCATCCCAAGCAAGCTGTGTGACCACAAGACCATCTCTCCTCTGGACAGGGGTCTCTTTACAATGAACGGGACACTGGACGACGTCCACTGGGGTCTTGGTTACACACTGGATTGTGTGTGGCATTTCTGTGCCTTGTCAATTGTTGCAAATATTATGAATTATGCTTATTTCACAAGTTGAATTAGTTCAAATGTAAATTAATTTGTGTAAATAATATAATACTGAACTAAATATTTTCTAGCCAAAATATACAAACATTGAAGCATACATGTATGATAATTGATAGGATTGGTTTTGCACACTATTTGCACACTGCAGCAGCCTAACACTAAAGTGTACCATGTAACCCCTACCACTATATTACAGCTATTACATAAATTAAAACTGTGTTCTGTATACAGATCACTGGCGGATCTACATACATGTACGATTTGGCTAGAGAAAGAAATATTGAAGAGAGGTAAATAAAAATTCTGATAATGACAATTTTAAGAACTGAACTGTAAATATGTAGGCACTGGAATGTAAAACTGCTGTCTCGTCTCGTCGTTTCGCTTGTAATACTGCCTTTCACTCTGTGTGTGTGTGTGTGTGTG